CCATCCACATCACTCTTGCAAAATGACAAACACGCTTCTAACTGGCAAATTAAATATTGATGATGCACTCTTCCCTACAACATCTTTCACGGGGCTGGCGCCAGCATTTCAGGGGTTTCTACGGCTTCGGGCCTCCGTGTCACGGCTGTTGTCACGACCACGGGCCATCTGTAATCCGGTGGAGTCAATATTTAGCTTTAAAGAAACCCACGTTTAACCTACACAGCTGGTATTTGCCAAGGAAACTTGGCGTTATCGCTACAAAAGGAAGCCAGTGTCAGCGATCATAAATGAAAGTTCATCAGCAAAAGCATCAAACTCTGAGTAGACTAAGAACCTCTAAAGCAGACTCTCGAGGGCCCCCACGTTTATCACCTCAATCTCCACTTGCACACACAACACACAACTGAGGAAATGCCGCCACATGGCCTTCTAACGGGCCTGGAGCTCCAGGGACTGACTTAACTCCCAAGTCCTCTGCAGTCTCGGGTGCCATCTCAGAAGGCCTCCCTGCAGGCCCCTCGCTCTTAACTCCGGTATTTTACAAACAATACTTGCTGCAGGCGCTAAGCCCCAGGCACACTCTCCCTGTGAAAGGAGAGCTCGGCTGCTCAGAGGCTTGTTAACATGGTGTCAGTTTCTCATCTTCTTGCAAGGCTGGAGAGAGAACTGGAAGGGGGGTTGCTCTCTCAGTGGCCCCCACGACTAGGGGTTCACCTCCTGGAGGCTCTAAGTGTCACCAGGGAAGTGGGGACCATGTGGGCAGGCACCCGTAGGTTGGATGCAGGGGATCCTGCTAGGCCCTGATCTCTGCATTTGGAGGGGACACGGGGATCTTTGGGGGTACTTGTGCCAGCCCCCTCCCCAGCGTGGAGTCTTCCCTGTTTATTCACACTCTGCTTCCTGGGCACAGTTTGTGGGGCCAGGGAACTGTTCACGGGTTTGGGGCAGCCGAGTCCTCCTTGCAGGGATCTGCATCAGGGTGCATCACACTCTCTCCAACTGGGGGGCTGCTGAACGAATGGGGATCTCAGAGCTGGGAGGTGCCCGGTGCATGTACAATGGGGACAAGGAGGCTCTTCCAAAAGGAAAATCCACCATGACTCACCAGGAAAAGCAACGTGTGCTCAAGATTCCTTTGCGGCCAAACGCCGTGTGAGCTTCACGCCCTGCCCCGGGACCCCGAGAGGTCCCCACCATCAGTCCAGTTGGCAGGCCAGGGAGAGAAACCCGGGGCTGCTCAGGTCAAGCCTTTCCTGTCCACCCTGCCCCCAAACTGCAGAAGCTGGCGGGGCACAGAGGGGTCTGGGTCACGAGCACTGCCCCCGCAGGACCACCCAGCCCTCCGCACAGCCCTTCGGGCAGGACCACTGAGTGTCCGGGTGTCACGGGGGGCTCTTGGGCCCCAGGTCCTGCACAGAGGCCATGGGTAACCCACACGACAGCTGGGAAGGGCACCATCCCCGCAAGGTCGGCAGGATTCGGCCTGGAGGGAGCTAGGGCCCTGCCTTCCTCTGCTGCTGGGACGTGGAACATCCTGTCAGTAGCTGCCAAGGGCTTCCAGCGGCCAGCCGCAGGGCAGGGGCTGGGAACCATGCATGGTGCCTGCATGGCTGAGCTGGGCAGGGCAGGTGCAGCGATGCCTGATACTCAGAGAAACAAGCTCAGGACAGCCCCAAAGATCAGGAGGCAAACTCCGGAGACCGCCACGCTTGGAGACTGGCCAGCTGGCAGGTGGGGGTGGCCAGAGTACGCATCCAAGCGCCCGGTCCAGGCCAGACACGCACTGGCCCTGTGACGGCTGCTGGAGTCCTATGAGGTAGACTCAAGTGGACGGTCTTCTCCTCCCAGCCAAGGAACTTCTGTTCTGCTCAGGGACCAACACAACTTGCCTGGGGTGAAACTCGGCCGCGGCAGCTCCCGGTCAGAACCAAGAAGGGGTCAAGGAAACACCAGAGACATTCAGCACTGAAGGGCCCTGGGCACGGACCCTCCAACAACATTACAAGGAAAAGGCTCCTTTTCAGCTTCCCTCCCATATAGGGTGCTATCCCCCAGGCGGTGAAATTGGGAACCAGACAACCATCTCCAAGGAGGAGGGGGGTGGAGGCCGCCAGGCACGTTCCTGACGCCAGCAACTCACTGGACAGGCCCGGTGGCTGGGCGACCAGGGCTTTTTCCTTTTAAACAACACTCAGCTTTTCCAAAACTGGGGGATTGCATGTCTCAACGGAAAATGGGTACAACTTCAGAGTATTTCTCAGCACGTCCTGCCTCCAAAAAATGTCCTGTGATCAGAGTACATTTGATGAGCGTACAAAAAAAAAGTCTTTCACAGTCATCTCTCTGTTCTTTACTCTTATACTGAAAAGACTGCAAAGTCCTGAAGTCAAAAAAAGCTAGTTTGACTTTCATTAACTTTGTGTTTCATAAAATTAATCAGAGGATCTTTATTTAGACTTTGTAATATCAAGTAGAGCAAGGACTTCAGAGAATTCATTTTGTACAAAATAATTGAGGATTTGTGGGGCGAGGGAAGAAGAGGAGAGGGAACAGGTCTCAGAGACGCAGCCCACCCCTCCTTGGCCCCTGCTCGGAGGACAGCAGAACGCTACCCCTTTCTGCATTATCTGCTCTTTCCAAGAGACCAGGAAAAAGGGATGCGCTTCAGAAGAAGCACTCCTTCCCTGGGTCCCGACAACGTCACAGAGTGTCCTAACGAAAGGCTATAAACTTGACACACAGCCATGGCCCAACCATCTTGTACAGCGAATCTGGAAATCAGTTTGATTGTTGCATTTAAAACATGTTTTGCAACGTGTGGCTGGCAGGCAGAACCCGCAAACGATGCTGGTCACCAAACAGATACCTATTTTTCTCCCACAGTCTCTCCTTCTAGGAAAAAAAATGAGATGAAGGGGAAAAGCATTTCGCTGAGATGGCTGGGTATTGGCATGTCAGATGCGCACCAAGTTTCTTACAGAAATCCTCGAAAATAATTTTTTTCCTATGGGGGTAGAAAGCCGTGACCGATGACTTTAATCAAGGACATGTTCTTTTGAGGACGTAGCTGTGTATACACACGACATAGAAGGGAAGGAGCGGAGGCAGAGAGAAGGCCAGGAGACAGAAAAAGCCACCGAGACTCGGATGCCAAAGGTGAGGTGAGCAAGCACAGGTGTCCCTCCGGGTTGGATGGGAGGGGAGACCGACACCGCGTCCCTAGAGCCCCTCAGGTGTCAGCCACGGAAAGGCCTCATCTGGCCTAGGAAATGTGCTTGACAGATCCGAAACGCAAGTCAGTTTAAACGGAAAAGCAACGACACCATCACCCAGGCGCTGGGCGTCCCCCGGGGGTGTCAGAGACACCTCACACTAAACTCTGCCGCGGCTCAGCGCCCGGCGTGGCTGAGGCCCCCACAGGCAAGGGGGTCCCTCCTCACCTCTGAACCACACCCGTCGCACGGCGTCCCCCTCAGCTCAAGCTAGTAAACCCTTCCAGCAAGTCCCTATGGGTCCTGTGTCCCGACTCCAGGTGAGTCACTCCAGGTGAGCCCCTGTGACACACGGCAGCTCTCAGGATCATCTGAATTTGGAAGCATCTACCAGGGACTCCCGGAGACACGCGCCTATTCCTCTTTCCCGCTGACCTACTTCTGGCCATCGGCCCCTTCCAAACAGGAAGAGAAATCTGAAGTTGCAATACATTATTTACTAGGATGAACCAGTAATTCAGACTGCAGGGGGAAGCAATAAGAGCTCAGGCAAGCTTAAAACGTCTTGAAGGCTGGTTCGTGGAGGAGTCGCAACGAGTGCAGGCGCGGGCACTTAGGAGCGACGTGGGTAGATATGAGAGGTTAATCGAGAAGGCCGTGCTGGGATTGCACACAGGATAAATATGCATACGAGCAAAAGGCAACCTCCACTCTTGCTCGGTGCCACCAAGTGGCTTCTGTTGTTTTGCATAAGGATTTAACAGACCCAAGGCCAGCAGCTGCACAATGGAGAACCTCCCGCACACGTTAGGGCAAGCTCTGGGTAGGGACGGGGCAGCGGGTAGGTGGCGCTAGGCTGGCTTCATCCATGCAGCTGACTTGCAACACCCCCGCCCCCAGCCGCACCGTAAGGGGTTTTCAAAGCAGCACACCGTACATTCCTCTCGTATTTACAGGCGCGTGGAAACATGGCCATAAGGCGCCTCGCCTAGGAACACCTGCCATTTTCCACCAGTGACCTTAATAGGCTGACGATGACTTCAAATCCATCCAACCAACACATGAATGCATTAAACAAAATTCAGGGGGCGAGGTCACCCTGATATTTCTTCAAAGAACACGCCCATGCCAAGAAGGCCAGCAGACAGGACGCCAGGGAAACCGTCAGGTTGCCCGGCGACTCTGACAGCAGAGTGTCCGCCCACGGCTGGTGCCCTGTCTGGACCTCGGGGACGCTCGCGCTGGGAGCCTCATCTACCAGAAGGCGAACAGCATGGGGGCGAGCATCCTGCCTCCCTCTCCTGGACGAACAGGTGACACCAGGACTGAAGGTCTTTGGAGGGTGTGAGTCCTCCTGGGCAATGACCTTGATTAGGGGTTGGCCACCCACCCCCGGGCAGAGCAAGAATGCACCCCAGCACCCACACGCAGCCCAGCGCCCATGGCGGGAAGGCCGCCAGGCATCCTTTTGACCTTTGTTATTCCTTAGACCTCGTGTTGTACATAAAGAGAGTACAATGATGTCAAACAAATTCCAGAAGAGAAGTATTTATTGCTGAATCTAAATCAAAAAATCCATACCTGCTATAATGGCACTTCAAAGCAAGATATACTGTATTTACCAGCTCAATCAATACTAAATTAGCTGGGATAAATATTTTCAACTCTACCAGTCTTAAGATGAAGCCTGCTATTTAGAACCCCGTGTCTTGGGAAAGACAAGGAAAATTTTGCTTATCACACAGAAATGAGACCCGGGAAGCATTGAGAAGCAGATGCACGTACCCTTAGCTGCTCTCTTTCACAATTCATCTGTTGTCTTGAAACCTACAAAGAAAAGCAAAAGGAGAACATAATCAGAGGCTTCTGCAGAAAAACAACATGAAAGGGTCTGGAGAGTTCTCGCTGCTGGTTCAGGCAGACACAGGCTTAATTAATTATGCATTTAATTTTTCTTTCTGTGTAAGTAGCCTAAGCTGGCTTTGGAATTTTAACCTTGTGATCCACGTGCAACACTGCTTTGAGGTGTGTCCTGGGGGGGGGCTATGGAGAGGGTGGGGGGCACATGACCCTCAGTGTGAACCCCTCAGTCTAGCTAGGGCAGGCGTCAGCCCTGAAGACCCCTCCAGGTGGGTGGTAACAGGCACCAGGCTCACACAGGTCCTCCACAGTGGGAACAGCTGCTGGGTCAACCGCACCCCTTGGCCCTGGGTCACACTTCGGGGTCCAGGTCTGATGCCAGGCAGGGAGTCCCCTCCCAGTGGTCAGGGGAATGTGGATGGCAAAGCTTCCATCTAGGAGAGAAGCCTTGGCCTACTTGTTTACTTTTTAAATGCATTTTAATTTTTTTGCATTTAGTTTTGTGTGTATGTGTATAGAAGAACTGGGGTTCAGGCCAGAGATTCAGGGGGTGAGAAGTCTCCCCAGAGACAGAATGGGGAGCAGAACAGGCAGATCCACTGAAACACACTGCTGAGGGGAGCAGTGGGGAGACATGGGAGAGGTCTGCTGCGCCCTGGGGGTGACTCCCTGGCCAGGGAATCTAAGTCAGGCTATAGTGGTGATAGTGCTGAGACGTAACCCCTCGGTGACCAGGGACGCACCCCGGATCCATTTATGAGCTGACAGCAGCTCAAGGAAGGAGACTCGGACACACACACCCTCCACAGACACCACACGCCAACGCTGGCTCCGAAGGTCAAGGGTGTTTCTCTAGAGTGAACGTGTCAGGTGTTGTCCAGACTGAATAAGTGGGGTGGATGCAGTGGGTGAGGCGGTGCTGATGCTGGCGGCAGAGAGATCAGACAAAAGGAACTCAACCTCCGTGGACTTGGGCTTTCTCCACTTTCATGCTGTGAAGATATCACGCGTGTCCCCATTCCGTTTGTGCTGATATTTCAAGTGTATTTTGAAACCACTGAGGCAACGCCATCTCCTAGAATCTGACAGCCTGTTGCAAGTTTTTTGAAAACCTTGCTAAATGATAAGAAGGTTTAGGAGCTGAGTTTTGATGTATATTTTATGCATTTTGTATTGGAAGTT